TTGTTCTTGTGATTCAAGATTATATATCATTTAAAAAGCTTGTGTATATGGGTTTATTGTTGTTAGCAACCTATCTAATTATAATAATAAATTAGGATCAGAATTTGTGTTGAATGAATTTTTATTTTTAATATTTATAGCCTCAAATGCATAAAACATGTATATTTATCCATATAATGGTAGCATATTGGCAACAGAATATGCTGAAGCAATATTATGATAAATTTGACTATGTATTCTAAAGAAATATAGGCCTTTATCACTTAAATTATTAACATTAGCACCCATTAATGCAAAAGCCAAAGCATTGTTGAAATTTCTTATGTCAATTTTAAAGTTGGAGTTTTTATTTTCATTAAAAAGCATATGCAATACAGTAACTTTTTCATTCTAGCAACACATTGAGCTTGACCCATTTTCAAAATGTAATGCACCACAAAAAACATATATAGATGACATATTTCTAATATGAAACATATGTGTTGTATGGTCCTTATAATTTTTTTGATGTGCTAATTTATAAACAGTATAGCTATGATGATTACATGCATTTGTATTAGTTTTATTAACATTTTCAAGGTTTATATTTATATGAGCTTCATTAGTGATTGGCAGACCTTTTCCAGGTCGTGATGAGCACTTAAAAAGCCTCCCATGCTTTCCATTGTGTCTTAACCACCACTATAAAAGCATAAGTGAGCCCAGTATGCTGATCAAGAACTTGAGTTGATCACACTTGTCTCCTAGAACACTCTAAATGCAGAGAATGGGCAGGAAGATTAGGCTCTCAAGTTTTTGAATAGGATAGAGGATGAAGGAGGCAATTGTGTAACGGATGATGCAAACTACACTACTGGTTTCAATGCTTGAGAAGAAGGCAAGGAGCTCAATGGGTAACTTGTCAAAGTTTTGGAGAATACAATGATGCTTGAGCTATGAGAGGTGAATGGGGTTCACAAACTATAGCTTTGAGAACTCAAGGAAGGATCCATTTCTTTAATAATTGGCATAATTCTGATCCTAGTTGCTTTAATGCCCTCCAGGTTAGCATTGACTCCTTTCCCAATGGTCTGCCCAAGTACAAAATTTTTATCCTAGTTATTTTAATGCTCTCTAGGTTGGCATTGACTTTTTGCCAATAGGCCACCCAAGTGTAAATAACTAAAGAGAACAATTTGATAAACAATTTATAAAAGTTCAAATACAAAAGAAAAAGATTCATGAATAAGAGTGCACCCTCTTTTTCAATTGGTTAAGGGTCTTGGGATATTTAGGGTTAAGTGTCTTTGGGTTTAAATAATACTGGGTTAGGTGACTTTTTGCAAAGTCCAAATATAAAAGTTTACCTCAAATACATCATTCCCTTAGCCTCTTTAATTATTTCTCATACCTCACTATCTCAAAATCCTATACCAAGTGAAGTATAGAAGTACATACTTGATGATTGTTAAGATGTTAGCTTTTGGAAGTCTGTTTCTCATCACAAGTTTGTTTAAACTACTAGATGAGGAAGTTTATCATCACATTTCTCATGCTAAAGATGCTCATTACTATTAATAATTACCTTAAGTATTCCAAAACCCTTAATCATTTAGAAAAGGGGGCACTTTTGTTCATGAGCTATTTCCCTTTATATTTGAATCTTTATAAATCATTTTTTGAGTTATTCTTTTTAGTTGTTTATAATTCACAATACTTCCTTGCAAATTCATACCCTCGTGAATTGAAGTTGAGAGTCATAATTTTCTTGAAAGCCTCACTCTCTTGATACCTTACCCCTCAAGTCAACCCTAGCCAAACTAAACTAGACTATCAAATATTAATTTTAACATGTGGTCTAGACCCCCTTTTAATACTAAATATGATCTTTTAAATTTAGATTTTTCTAGATGTTAGTATTACTCAAACCCAAGGACATTTAACCCCAAGTATCTCTAGACCTTTCACTATTTTGAAAAAAATTTATTCATGGGTTTTTTCCCTTTATATCTAAACCTTTACAAATCATTTTTCATGTCATTTTCTTTAGTAATTTATATTGAGTCTTTTCTTTATGCTCTTTCACACCTTTAGGGTAACTCAATTTTCCACCATTCATGGGATTTCTTTTGATATTCCATACTTCTTTATTAGAAAATTATTATGCCCTTTTTTATCCCACTTATATTCCACCACCACCTCAAATTATTAGTAGTGAGCAAAAGTTTTGAGGTTGTTATCATCCTTGACTCAAAGTGCCAGTATTGAAGACTATATTATTTGGTCAATTTGTTTGGATGTTTTATTAATGATTGTACATGAGAGTTTGTTAGATGGAAGCCAACAAAGTGCCCCCACGCTTCCATCTCTAGGCAAGTGAACCAAAGGGACAAGTGATTAACTTATCAGTGACTCAAGCCAACTCCTCAAATTGAGCCCCATTAGTGCCATCTCTCTACAAGAGCTTAGCTTGCATAGCAATTGGATTGTAGTGGCTGTTATGCAAGTTATCTCAGTGGATAGTTGAGGTCTGCTAGTGCTTTATTAGATGCTAGAAGAAACTAGAATATACTACAAAGTGTTTAAAATAGTTTATCAATTATTAATACAAGATTAAGCTAAATGAATAACAATCATTGAATGGTAAAATATTGTAGAATATCCAAGTATATTCTAAGTTCATTCATTACCACTTCAGACACTCTACATGTTTTCTTAAGCAAACAAAAATTTAAATTAAATTTATTTTATTATTCGATGTAATCACAAAGAGAATAACTTTATTAATATTTTATTGATATATTTGATCATATATTTATGTGTTTGTACTATTGCTAAATAACTTTGGAATTGTCATCCATTAAAATATAAAGCTTAGTCATTGATTTATATAAATTTTATTATATAAAAAAGTTTTTATTTACATATTTACTTTAAAATAAAAATAATGAAAGTTCAAAACTATATTAAATTTTTAAGTTTAATTATAATTCTTCTGTCTTTAAATTTTACTTTCCTTAATACAGCTAAGCCTAAATTTGGACAGCTTCATGTTCTACAACCAGAAGACATGAGAACAATTATTCAAGGTATATGGAATTTAATTGGAAAAATTCATTTAAGAAAGTTTTATCCTGCAACTTATTCAAATTCAAAAATTATCTTGACTTCACTAGGAAATATTGAAATAATTATAAAATGTAAAGATACATGTCCTAGTTCTACAGAAGATATCAAAGGAAACAATATTATATATGGGCTAGAAAAGATTCTTCAGAAAAACTTAGTTATTTTAAATGAAAAGTTATCTAGCTATTTTGAGAATGAATCTCTTAAGTATTCAATAAGATATGCCTTATTAGATAATTCTAATTCTAATTCTAATTCTTTATATTTTAGTTATGAAAACTATACTACAATAAAAAATTTAGATAATTGCTATTTTATTAATAGTAATTTATATCATGGTTCAGCTCTTTATTCTGAAAACTTTTTAATTTCTCCAAACTCTAAGGTTATACTCTATTTGACTTTGTCTTGTCATGTAATTTTATTTTACGAAAATTTAGAAATTTGGAGAGTTAGACCTATAGAAAAGAATATATTTAACTGTATTTTAATTTTAGAAAATCAAGCTAATTTAGTTTTAAAATATAATATAAAATTATTATGGTCAACAAGAAAATATTGTAAAAATCAGTGCTTGGTACCTTCATATTTAAGAATTCAAAATTATTTTAATTTAGTAATCTATTTAGCAACATTTCCTAATGATCCTTTATGGGCATCTAATACTGCTAATAATAAATTATGCATATAGTGAACTTCTGAAAATTATCTATAACATGTACTTGTATTTATATATAATTTGAAAATTGAAAATTTTACTTTTGAGAAAAGTTCTAATAGTGTACATAAACCATGTGAACAGAAAAAAAATGCATTCTTTCTTACTTGAGGAATATGTCCCTCATAGAACAATATCTTCTTCTTTGTAAGATCACCTGAACATTAACATATGCTAATAGTCAAGTGCAAGTTATATAAGTAGTAACACCGCTGATAGTGGCAATCCAAAACTCTAGAGTGGCTTTCCTTCTTCTACTAGCTTTTATATATATCATTATTAATGTGGGAGAAAGAACTAAAATAAGATAATAACAAAGTTCTGTAGACAAATTCAAGTTTGGGAGGTGTTTGTTAGAAAAATATTTATATTTGCTGAGAGAAATTTCCACTTATCATAAAAAAAACCATCATAATTAAAAATGTTAAAATTTAAATTATACCTTAAAGTCATGAACAAAACATGGAAGATTCAATGAATGCCTATTTAGAAAACTAAGTACTTGCATCTTCTACTCTTATTTTAAGTAGTGATGTACCAGATATTGATGCAACCCAACTTTGTTTATGGTACTACTTATGCAATAAAGCCTTATTTATTTTATTACATCTTTATTTGACCAATTAAAGAATTTTTGAGCAAGAGGACTTATCAAGACATCAAGCACATACACTTATGAACTTTATACCTTGATCAGCAAATCCTGAAACAACTTATTGACTTCTACAACAGTCAAGAACCTCTTATGTAAAAACCTGTGGGAATATCCACTAACTCCACTATATTCCACTAATGTACAATATTCACTATCCAGACTCTGAAACCTTTTCCAAGACTTTGTATGCTGTGAATCTTTGAGGATAATTACTTAAGTCCCAACCCATGATCTTATATACTTATGTCATGGCTATGCAACAGTGAGAATTGCTATAGCTGTTTGTTGTCCAATCTCATCGGCATCTGTGTCATTTGCTTCTCTTTTGAAGAAACAACGTTTCCTCTGACTAATCTAATGCCATGGCGAGCAAAATTCTCCAAGCAAACATCCAATCAAAGCTCCCCCTGCCCTAGCATTTATCGCCATTGCCAAACGGCTGCACTGGTCTGGGAAGTGGTCTTTACATTGCGTCCATGTTGGATCTCCAAGTTTGAATATTTCAAAATTAGCACTTTTCTAAACATTGCCCCACTTGGCTGCAAGATAGTGAGCTCCCATGGGACCCCGGCTTCCGTTCGGGTATAACTCAGGCACCATCTTCTTCCTCTTGAGATCTTTGAGAAGAGGAGTGAAAATCTTCCATGCCGCATCCAGTTCACTGGTCCTGATGAAGAGACAGCACTCTCCAGCAATGGCATCCAGCAGTAATTGCTTGTAAGCATCAGGGATTTCTTTTGAGTATCTGTTACATAGGAACTTTAGCTCGTAAAAAAGAAGAGAACTGTTAGCTCGGAGGTCCAGAGTGCTTCGATTGAGTCTCATTCCCAGCCCTGGGACTTTGTTGTTGATCTTGAGATAAATGCCTTCTGGATCTGGAAACCGGAAGGAATTCCATCCTGGGATCTGCAAGAGTGTAGTAGCATCACAAACAGTGTCATCAATTTCTACAGCAAGTGTGGAAGTATAGCTGTTGCTCACCACATCTTCGATTCTGCCGTGCCAAGGATGAGGCTTAGTGGAACACACTGATAGCAGGCAAGGCAATGCAGCCAAAGTGGTGGACATCCTTGGCAAGCTGCTAGAGGAGGGCCTTGAGCTCAATGAATTTATGTTCCTCTCAGTTATCATGGGGTGCAGTGCTATGGGATGGATCAAGTAGGACCTAAAGTTTTTCTAGGAGATATGGAGTAGCTCTTGGGAGAGTTGCCCATTGCGATGCTAGCACTCCGAACCAAGGGAGGTCCACTACAAATTGCCAAATCAGAGGGAGAGATAATGTCACATGTGTTGCATTTCTCTCCAGCTTATTGTTACCTAAGCTATGCAGATTTCTAATTAGCCAAAGCAAACATCCACAAAAGTTTTATGGCAAATTGACCCTAGCCCAGGCTTGGGATCAGATGGCCCTTAGTTCATATATATAGACTAGTATTACCCAACAAATGTTAGGTGAATATCAATGTACTTTTGTGAACTTCATAATATGAATATTAATATATTCCTAGGCATAATAAGAATAAATATTTATTACTAGCTCTGCTGGGATAGTTAGATGCTAATTCTAAAAAGAGAACAATTTATTAAAACTTGCTTAAGTTCAATATGTAACAAGCACTTGGTTTATTTAGTTTTTACTTAGTGATTGCAACCAAACACTATTTCTTAAATGTTTAACTAGAATAGAATAATACAAGCTTGGACTCAAAGCTTAAAAGAATTATTCAACACATGAAGAGGTGGCTCAATCATATTCCTCAATTTGGTATATTATTTGGGCATTCCAGAGGTAAGAGCAGTTAATGGGATGGTATGGTAAAGGGATTTTTGGTATAGAATGGCTGGTTTTGCATTTGCAAGCAAGCAATGTGTATTGAAGTATAAATGATTGTATTTTCTGGTGGACAATGTGTTTGTTCATTATAACATGCTAAATTCTGATACAGTTGATGCATTTGTCATTTATTGTCCACTTGAGAATCATGTGTTGTTCTTCTTTCCCTTTTTTAGTTTTTGTATCTTGACATTCCTTTCTTGCTATAGATAACCATCAAACAGAGCTGATGTTTGCTAGGAGGTGTGTTTTATTTTATTTGTTTTTGCAAGTTCCATGTAACTACAAAACAAAACACAGATAAATATATCAACGTGTAAAAGATTAGAATGGAATCTGCATACCTTAGGTGTCAAGTCCAAGTATATAGAACCTTAGCTTCTCCATGTCTTGGTATTTTTCAAGCTTGCTCCAGATTTTGAATTTGTAAATCTTTGATCGGATACCATCGATAAGTAGTGAGAATGCAGGGTAGTTCTCATCTCGCATTGTAGCTAGTTCCTTTGCTGACATTCCCACTATTTCCTGTGTAGCCTCTTGAAATGCAATGGCCCACATATGACTGCTACTATCCTCAATGCACATCTTTAGAGCATACTTGAACTCCATGTTGGCAGACACAATATTGCAATAACTGCAAAACCAACCATCTGCTGTTTGGGTAGTTTTTTTGCCACATTGCCGTGCATTCACAACATTGATGCATGCATTATAGTAAAACTCATCTGTCTTCATTTCCTTCACAGTAGCTATCACTCTATAGATAAGGGAACTCTCTAACACCTTTAACTACATGTTTGATATCTCTGATAAAGTAGTGGTGCAGCTAACAATCTGTCTGGATGATGAAGTGCTCAAATGTATGAAGTTAGTGACATTGTAGTACAATGTCATCCATTCTCTCAAATCAGCCACTGCTTCCATTTCCAGTTCAATAAGAATAGTGCTCACACCAATTGCTGAAAGTGATTTACCATTGTAGTCCGATACCTTTCCACCCTTGACACATATTATTGGCTGAACTCCACTGTCTATCCGCTCCTGTATATATGAGCCCTCTTCTTCTGCTTTTAAATCCCAGAGACATAGATCAACACTGTGGCCTGAATCATCACCTAGACACAATGTTCTCTTCTTCACAAAAGTTCCACTGTCACGAGATGTTACTGTAATTGTACCAATCCATATTACGATACCAACCACATCAACAAAAGAGTCCCTTTCCTTCTGACACGCACTTAATATGCTTGTTTTTGCCAAGACAATTCTTGGGAACATTGCATCCTCATCCAAAGCTGTAAACTCCATACCTTTGTTAGCCTGAATCTCCCATGTTGCTTCAAATGGTGTGTATGCCTGATTGGAATGTCGTATTCCACCACTACCAGAAAATGAATACACTGTACCCTGTACAATCTTATCTGACAAAACCAAGGCACAATCGTCGGAGCCAATAATTCTAATCTCTGTTCCCTGGACATCAACAACGTCAAATGACATTATGCATCCAGATCTTTTCGTGTTGAAGTGTATCAACTTGTTCTTGTGTGTGACTCTTGCATGGAAGGACCACCTGTAAGAACGGTCACTGATTTCTTTGATGAACACCTCTTTTATGACGGCCTTTTTTGAGCTCTCTCCCTGTATCAAAGGGAACAAATTGAATAAACTGGTTTAGACGTGAAATACCTTTTCCATGGACTCCTGGGCTCGTTTTTGTCCCTGGCAAGTTCAATTGTAGCAGTTATTTTAGAATTAAAACCAAAGAAAGGACTTACCACTTTCATATCTTGAAGGATAGGGTTTGAGTGTGTGTGCTTCCATACTCCACGGCAGAGCACCGCACGTCCTGCGGTGTCCGGTGCGCCCCTGGCGGTCCTTGAAAATCTGGAGGAGCGAGTGCTGAGCTTGCCCGGTCGTACTCATAACCGCATCAGGTCTCCAAGGTGAGCAGCCTCTAGTCGATGGAACAATGTAGGTAATCCAGGAAGCATGCATCCGAAACAATCAATGACCTACAGAATATTTTGGTGTTTAAAATGCTCTGTCAAAAGGAAAATACACTTACTGTTTCCCATTTGTCTCAAGGAACGCGTAGTCCAGGAATTTTACAAACGAATTCAGACGGGCACCACATGAATCTATTAAACTTGAAACTCGGTGTGATGCAATTGCCTCGAGTATTTCTCTGTCATCCATGACAGAGAACTTCTTGGTCAGAGCACCAGGCTTTGAATCTATATTCGTCACACGCAACATGAGTTCCTCTTTCGAATTTTCTTTGACCCTTCTGATCCCATCATCTGTGCACTTCATGATTGTTCACGATAGGGTTTCTCCGTGATATCTGCTATATAATGTTCACATTTATCAAACCGTTGGCAACGTTGTTATCACTGCCTTGATGCATATGCATTGGTTGAAATAATAAAATTTATTCTTGTATTAGTGGGGAAAAAAGATTACGACTTTATCTTCCTCCTCCCTCTCCAGAAGAGTTAGTGGCAAAAGTAGTTTATCTTCTCGAGAAACTTAAGTTCTTGTTCATTTTTTTTAAAAAAAATCTGATTCTACACTACCGGCCAAAAGCCCTTTCCACGATCTACCGATCTTCATGTTTAATAACAACTGTGGCAATACACGGCTCCTCTTTCCCACCAGCAAGTGCTCTAGAAAACTTAAAGGAATCGTGGCCTTGTCGATTCATCCCAAGCCACCTGCAGAAGCAGAGACATAAACGTTCTGTGAAGGTTTTGTAAACTTCTCAAAGTGGTTCGCCCATAATGGATCCCAGGTGCAGCACGTCACATCCAAGAAGGTAGTCATAGCACGCAAGGAATCTTTGCTTTACTATTCTGATTCTGCCGGTGGCAAAAGGATGAATCGCTGATGATGGAGTTCCATGACTGACTTGAAAATCACAGAGAACCGACACAGTATGGTCCATGTCTAGTCACAGGCGTTTTTCTAGGCCTTTCCCTTTTGTTACCAAGGTTATAAGGACCAAAGAGGATTACAACGCCCACGGAAACGGATTGCGTCCAGATAAGCACAAAATTGTGTCTGATGCATCTTCCAACACTCGAATTCCAGCTACACTTGCTGGTTATGAACGCAACTACTGAACACCATTTTGATCCATAGCGAAACAGTTTGATCTTCGTTTATTTGTAGTATAGAAACTTGATGCATTCTTAAGCTTTTCTAGGGCAAGTGTGTGCGAAGGGAAACAACTCCCAGGAAAAACACTTTCCTTTTCTTCTTTTTTTCATCTGATTCTTCGTCTGAAAATCAGACGAATCCAACCAGCTCCAACCAGCTGCTCAAAGCATGCGATCCAATAAGCCAGACAGTAGGGCATGCATGTGAGATGGCCTGCGTAATCTCCATTTCCCGGTGCCTGTCTTGCACGGTTAAGGAAACCTTTTCAAAAATCTAAAGGCTGAAGATAACAGGTGTTAGAACCCAGCGACAAGTAAAAGATCCACACCTGATTCCGATGTAACTCTCGAACCACCCTCATCCTGCCCCAGCCGTTAAGCTGGAAGAGACAAACGGTACGTGAAAATTCAGTCGGGCATCATAAAGCAAGTCTACTCCACTACCCTGGTACCCCGTGTCAAATGCTCGACCTGTAGCAGCACCAGACATAAACAATCATGCAAAATTGCTGTTGCTAACTGTATGGCTTGTTGTGGACGGTAGTCCTTGTACTGCTGCACCTCTTCCACTCTCATCCATGTACACTGCTTGAACTGTGTCAGTTATCTCGCATTTTCTTCCATACTGTATCGCTCTTCCTCCTGGTTTCCTCATGGTTTCTAGTGTATGACTGTGATAATGGTCTTGTGCTGGATGATTTTTTTGCACAAAGAATGCTTGTTTCCGTGTCTTGTATGCTAGAAGTTGATGTTGTGTAATCCAGAAACACAAAAGTCAAGTGTAAGCCTTTTTTTATGCAGGTTCCAAATGATTGTAATTCAGCAGAGCAATATTTCTATCTACCAAGTAGAGTAATGGGAACTATTGCAAACCATCGTTGAAGAGCTGTAATATTTACAAATTACGGTGCAAAAGCCAGTGCTACTTTGTCAAAGCTAAGAAATTGGTTCCTTTTCAACAAAGTTTGCTGCTGGGTTTTGCCTTTAAAGCAGAAGCTGGTGTGCCAAATCCAAACCCTTCACACTCACCCGAGGAGAGGAACTATGTCGTGTGGTCTGTTACACAGGTGGAGCTTGTCCATACGTACATGGACTTCCTCTTCCATGGGGGCTGCTATCTGGTTCGGCTGGATGAGCTGTATTATTTGGCTTTATTTAGTTTATTTTCTGACAATTTGAAATTTGTTTTATACCATCATTCTAATTAATGATGAGAGGACCATAGTATAGATTAAAACTTTTTTTCTCAATCTATTTTTTAATATCTGTAAGACACAATATTTTTCCTTTTTCTCAATCTCATTTTAATATTTGTCATGCTCATTGAATAGCCCACCGCTTGATAAGACTTATCATTCCGTTCAGCTGTTGAATCTGTAATAATAACAAATACAGCTCAAAAAATACAAAATCATCTGAGAGGGATTAGAGGAAGATCAAGTACATTCTTTTGGGTTTTCAGCAATTGCTATTTTTAGATGTGCCTCCACTCTGAAATGGAAATTTAAAGTTAGTAATAGATACAATCCATACGTACTTCAGTGATAGTTCCCTCAATGTAGCTAGTTTAGGGAAGTTATGTATTGGCTGAGCATCTTTTAGTGTGGAGGTGATCTCAGTGTCTGTTTTTTTTTCTAAATAGAAACTCTGCCATTTGTTATTTTACATTCTGGAAATCATCAAATTTTGAGTTAGCTTAAATTTAATTTATGTTTCTCACAAATTTACACCAAATACCTTATCTATTTCATTAGCAAAGTGAGATTCCGATGCCTTTGTTACTTTTCTTTGAAAATGTTCTGTGTCCTCGCAATCTAAGAACAATGATTAGCATTGTGAATATATTTTAGCAAAGAAACATCATTCTTGTGTTAAAAAGTTCTACCGTGAAGATGTTCTATTTGTTGTTCATTTTGAAATTGGTATAAAGTGTTTTCTTTATGCATCATGTTTTTTTTCTCAGTAGCAAAAGCAACATCAGCAACTGGTCTATTGGTCTGCTTTTAGAAAAAGAACTTAATAAAAAGGTATAAACAAACAAGCCAACCATAATCTTTTCTGCATTATTTGCAGTTGATACTCTAATTGTTAAACAATAGGTGTTCTTTCAAATCCTTATTTATCATGAGTGAGCTCCACAAAGTTTGCTTCCAAAACTCCTAAATAACCTTAAAGAATGTATCAAAGACCAATAGTAGAATAGTAAAACTTGCCATAAACACTTTACCCTTGTTTTCGTGATGAATTCCATATTTTCCAAAAGGGCTGTCATATATTAAATGAGAAAAATGATCTTTCTGAATGATTGGTTACCTTAATAAGTCGGTTTTTGTGGTAGACATTAAATCCTTGTATATCTATTTGTTGTGTGTACCAAAAGTTTACTTTTGCAGACATCTACATTCAAAGTTGAATAAATATCAAAGAAAATTTTAAAAATGGGGACAACTACTTTTAAATCATTTTGAAACTTGAAATTAAATTGCTCTATATGCATTGCATCACTCCTTATGTCAGAGTGTTCAACTTCTTGATTTCGAAGAATGATCTTGAAGTTTTCTGGTAGATGCAAATACAACATTGAAATATATACCTGCAAACCTGAGTGGATGAGAAAGTGTATTTTAAATTTTTTCTTACCCGTAGAGAACTTTTGTACAGGAAAAAGTGTTTAATATTGGAATATTTGTTTGCCATTTCACATTGTATGTCATGTTGACCGTTTCTAATTTGGATATCCTTAATGGGTGTCAGAAAAGTAAACTTTTAAAATATAAAACATACATGAGGATCAGATTTGAAGTCTAGTTCAATTTGTTGCTCGTCATTCTCCCATAGATTATAGATGATTATTCTTGTCCCTTGGTCATTAATTTTCTTGAACTTGAATAGTAGAGACACATAACTTAAGATTATTGATCTAGAATACCTACTTGGCTATGAATAGATCCTTCATTTTGATAAGGACTCCATTTAGTGATTACATCCATATGAATTTTCCAATCTTGATGTGTACATTTATGGATCTCTTTTAACTCAAGCCCATATCCTTCATAATTCAGCTGCAAATATGAACAATGTGATGAATACACATCTAAGAGAATTTATCCACTCAAAACCATTGGAACTATAATATCTTGCTGCACTGTATCACGGAGAAAGCTATAAGAGAGTAATCCCACACTTTGAATAAATCTGTACACAATGTTAAATAAAGTGGCGAAAAATATGGCAGTCAACTCTTATACCTGTCACCTACTGCAGTGTTTGATTTTGAAAATACAATGACATCTGCACCAAGGCGCGTTGTACTTGTCTTGAAACCATTTCCATTTGGTAGTATAAATAATATTAAAAAATGTAAAAAAAAAGATGGCACTTACATTGTCCAATTGTTCTACTGGCTGTGTCATTTACAGAATACCCAAAGGACATACATTGTCGCAAATGATCAAGAGTCATGCCATCACCATTGTCTAAATTAACAAATACAATGTTACTTGCATAAAGAAAGAAAAAAGGAAAAAAAAAAATGTCTTACAAACCTTCAAACAGAAGCATTGGCGTGCCATTAACTGGATTCTTGAGAACATCTATGTTGGCAAATGTCGCTCCATTTGTTGTCTGGTCGAGTGCATTATCAAGCAGCTCTGCTATTGCTGCAAAAAGTGTAAGATCATGCATTAGAAAGAAAAGAGGAACAGTGATATGCCTATTTGAATTACCACCAAAAGCCCACTTGTGGCTTCTTGCGTTAGAATGAAGGAATTTGGGATGCATTCGTACGTGGTCCATTCCAGCTACAAAACCACGTAATGAGTTACTTCCTTAAAAAGCAGTCATAATGAGCAAGGACCTGGCATTGTTTGTGCGTTAGAACCATCGTAATTTCCTGCTTTCCAAAACTGGGAACATTGTCTTGGCTGCTGTGTACAAACAACTGTTTTATCA